TCGGGGGACATAACACCAAAAATGGGCAGGAGTAGGGGCCTTAGGAGGGGTCTAGGGAGGAGCAGGAGCTAGAGTTAGAGCTAGAGTAGTAGGAGCTAGAGTAGAAGCACCCTTCTTTAGCTTTGTAATCTTAGCTATAGTAGTAGTAGCTACGCGCTTAGCTACTATATACTCTACTATAGCCTTATACTTAGTAGTAGCACGCTTTTCTTTAGTAGTAGTAGCTTTAGTAACTATAGCTTTAGCTACGCAGGAGGTAATAAGGGTAGCGCAGGTAGAGTAAGTATAAGTAGCAGGTTTTAACTTTAACTAAGATAGGTTAGTAGGAATATAGGTATAGTTTAGATCTTTAGGGTTAGATAATCTTATAACTTAAGCTATAGTAAAGGTTATAGTTAGGTAGATAGAGTTATAGAGCTTTATCTAGATAATATCTACACACGCAAGCGTAGGCTAAATAAAGAAGGCGCGCTAGTTAGTATCTAAAGGGTAAGCTAATTTAACCCTTTAGATATATAACGCTCTAATTAGCTATACTACCTACTAACTATAAGTGTAACTATAATAATAAAAGATCTATCTATACCTAGGGGGTGTGTTATAGGAGGGATATTAACTAGATTATAGAGTATCTTAATCCTAATTAATCCTAATTAATCCTAATTAATACCCCTATATAACCTACTATCTAATTAACTGCTAGCTTACTACTAAGTGCCTAATAAAAAGCAGGAGCTCTAGTAAGGAAGGTTTACTAATTATTTACCTTCTAGTAAGGGTAGCTAAAGCTCTATATATATAAGTACAATCGTAGTAGATACAATCTAATAATCTATCTCCTAAATCATTCCTAACCTTAGTGATCTAAATTTCCACAGTTATACTATAGAAGATAGGCTATTAGATAGTGCTAGTAAGGTAGGAAAATAATATAGTTAAAGATATAATATATAGTATTAAAGGTAGAATCCTAGCTACTAATAAGTTAAAATCACGTATTACTAAACTAAGCCCTAGTTTCCCTTAGACGCTCTAGCTAAAATAGCTATTCTACCCTCCTATTAGCCTAGAAGTTTTTAGAAGATAATTAAATATATTCCTACCCTCCTATTAGTTTAGAAGTTTATATAAGTTTACTAGCGGCGCGCTTGTGTGCTGCTAGGCCTAAATAGGATAGGCGGAACGCCAAATTTCAGTTAGAGCATCTGATTCATGAGATAAGTGCTGTGGCCACTGGCCGCTAAGCTCAAGTCCGGGGGTCCGGGGTGGCGCTAACTTTAGCTTCCGATGCGCCACCACCGGCACATTCCTCCCATGCGCCGCACGTGTTGAATGGTGGAGAGATGAAATTGCGACCCAGCAGCCTCCTGGAACGTACATACGATTCACTGTGTACAGATACTCTAGATGCGGGTCCGTTATTGGAACATGTACGTACCTAGTAGGTACCGCTCTGGGTGGATGCCAAGCTAGGTACCGGTAATGCTCATCGTCGGCCGGTGACATGATGATGTGTAAGGTGAAGGTGATTAAGGGATTCCCCCCTCCAGTTCAACCCATGGTCGTTACCTTATAGTGGCCATGGTGATTGCAGATTGTACCTGAGAATCCTGGAAAGGATCTGCATCTACAGGCTGACGTTGGATGTACGTGAATCGTGATTCACTTTTGTCATTTCTAACCGCCAAGGACTACCGGTACCTACCCGTGCGGTACCCAATGTCCACTTGGAGTTCTGACAATCGACATGGGCCTGCCACTTCAAGCCCTCGACAACACGGCATCCCATGGTAGGCAATGGCGCTCACCAGTAGTCAGTTGTCGGCATCCTAATGGAGACTAGCATGCGACACAACACATAGTCTCCAACAGAGATACATTGTACAATGACGCGAGGCCTGATTATTTGGGCGGACTGCAAGGATACCTACCCATGAGCTACTCTACGTTAACACGCACCTTTTTCGTTGTTTCCATCACAGTGGGAGTAGACAATGTGGCCTAACATGGATTGGACCTGTGTGCTTGGGGTCATGCTCAGGAGTATTTACATACTTCACCGAAACCAAAAGCCGGCAATTAACTGAAAACCTGGTGAATAGAGCATATGTGGGTATCTCGTGAACCTATTTATTAGTAATCCCCCCCCCTGCATGTAAGCTGCTCTCCTATTGCGATCCTAGTCGTAATCTGTAAAGCTACCTTTGGAATCTTTGAAGCTATTCAAGGCTACTAGGATCCCCACCTAGCACCTAATGGATTTATTTTCTTATATACCATGCGTTATTTCTTCGAGTTCGGGCTAATCGGCGGCTTTCTTTTTCAAACAAAAGTACCGCCGAACATCCACTCAAACACGCTCATCCGACTGTCAGACATTCAAGCCTTGAAACACCCGCCTAACCATTCCCCCTCTGAGAGAACACGTTCATCAATACATTGACATTTAATACCTTCAACAGAAAAATTTGCACACGACATGTACATCCATCCCACATTTTTCTCCGGCTCTAAGCACCAAGCGCAGTCGCCACACCCTGCAACACCGCGCTGACACCTTCCATTCCGATTACCGCCCTCTCCCACCTCTCACGTCTTTGCATCTTCGCTTTCTTAGCATTCTCTTCCATCGATGGGCGAGCTTGGTCGGTCCAATAGGACTGCAAGCCCAAAGTCGTCAGTCTCGCAGTCTCCTGCGTCGTGCATATACC